GCAATTAAATATTAAATATCCTTTTTTACATAAAAGTTCCAGTTGTTTTGCATTTTTTGAAACTTTTTTGTTATTATTTATGTTATTATTATTTGTTACAAATACATAGATGGGGTGCAGTGGAGCACACCTGTAATCCTAGTGACTAGGAAAACTGAGGTCCGAGGATCACAAGTTGGAGACCAGACCAAGTAACTTGCTAAGAACCTGTCTCAAAATAAAAAAGGGCTGGTGATATAGCTCAGTAGTGGAGCACTTGTCTAGCATAAGTGAGACCCAGTGTTTTATCCCTAGTAGCATACTCACACACAAAAGATGCAGAGAATACTATGTATAAAAATCACTTTTTCCAGGGCTTAAGGTTTAGCTCAGTCGTGCAACACTTGCCTACCATGGTTGAGGCCCTGGGTTCAATCCCCAATACACATATAAGAACTCTTGGGCATATTTTTGGGTTTTAGTATGTTTTCGATTTTATTTTTTTTTATTTTTATTTTTTTTAAAGAGAGAGTGAGAGAGAGAGGGGGACAGAGAGAGAGAGAGAATTCTAACATTTATTTATTTTTTCTTAGTTCTCGGCGGACACAACATCTTCCTTTGTATGTGGTGCTGAGGATCGAACCCGGGCCGCACGGACGCCAGGCGAGCGCGCTACCGCTTGAGCCACATCCCCAGCCCCAAGCCACATCCCCAGCCCCTCGATTTTAAATTTACTTTTTTTTATTTTTATTTTTTTGACTATATAAAACACATACATGAATCAAAAGTCTCCCTATAAAGAAAGGTTTCACTTTCATCCGTTTTCAGTTAATCTTTTATTTTCAGAGTCTAGTTTAACTTTTCAGAGGTTTTGAAATGCAAAACATCTATGTATGTGTGTGTGTGTGTGTGTGTGTATAAATAAACACACACATTTCTTTTCATATATGCGTGTACATATATTTATATATTGATTTTTAACTACATGCCCTGGAAATCACTGTATACAGCTATTTAGAAACCATCATGTTTTATTAGGCTGCGTGTTCACTTATAAGCACTGCAGTTTATTCAGCTCATTAAAGCAAGCATTTTGAAGTGTCAGGCAGCCCACTTGCAGGAATCAGATTTAACAATGCAATCATGGCTCCACAACTTGTTGGATGTTGCATCTTGAGCCAGCCATTTATAATCTTTGTGTCTCAGTTATTTCGTGCGTAAAATGAGGCTGTTGTGGGATAAATAACCCACAGCTCATTTGCTGTTGTGAGCAGCACATCAATTAATACACTTAAAGTGCTTATGAGAGCTCAAGGCATAGCATAGAGGAAGTCCTTGACTAAAAAGCTGGGTGGGTGGGAGTGATGGAGACTTGTACAGTTTGCTGGGAAAAACTGCGGACATCACAGAATATTTCTAGGGCCTGTGTGACGTAGGGAAAAGGACACAGGCCTGCCCTGAAGTTCTCACAGCCTTGGGTCCGGGAAGCTTCGCCATTAGGGAAGGTGGAGGACTCCAACGAGTGTGCTGAGCAGCTCAATGCTGCAGTACTGCCAACAGGGAAGCACGTTCCCAAACAGACACTCAAGCCCTTCGGTCTCCCGGTAGTTGAGGGCAGAGTGGTCTCCATTGTCAGTCCACAGATCTGAAGCTGCTGCCTGYCTGGAACCACAAGTCAGCCCGCAGAGGTTGCAAAAATTTACTCCAAGTGCGCCGGGGGCGGGGCGCGCAGGGGAAGGGGCGGAGCCACGTCCGTGGCGCCAAATCCTAATCATGGCGCCTGAACGGGTGCGGAGCCGGGTGCTCTCAGCCTTTAAGCTGCGTGGCTTGCTGCTCCGAGGGTGAGTCTGTCAGGGCAACTGACCTGGTGAGAAGGTAGATCCAGGGCTCGGCTGCGGCGCCGGGGAGCGGGACACGCCGCGGCGCCCCCAGCGCTCAAAGAGGAGGTTTGACCTTAAAATGACAGACCCTTAAAAAAGCTAGATCAATCTGGCATGATCTTGAGGCTGCAGTGCTTTCCTAGGTTTCCCCGACGTTCGTGGGCAGTCAAATGTTTCTTCTTGGCGGGGCCAGGAGTTCCTGCACACTTGAGCCTGAGAAGCAGCGATCTGTCTCCGAGAAGTCCTTTAGCACTGGGACTTGGGCACCTCTCAGTCTGCGGAAGTATCCGCCTCTGCCCGAGGCGAATCATAACAAAGCAACTTCACGTAGTTACTGAGACATCAAATTCTGAGACCTGGGAGGTAGGAATGATGGTGGAATGAGATAGACATCATGTGCATGTATAAGACACGAATGGTGTGAAAATACTTTGTGTACAACCATTGTCTTGAAAAATTGTACTCTATATGTGTAATATGAAATGAATTGCATTATGCCATAATGTATAACAAATCAGAAAAAAAAAAAAGACCTGGGAGGTCTCTACCATGCATGTCAGGAGTTGCTAATTTATATTGTTGCAGAAACTGTGGGCCTCTCAACCCTCCCGGGATGGGAGTTTTGGATTATTTATTATTTCCAGTATAATTAAATGGATTTTTTAGGTGTCCACTTGGATTCTTTGTAAGATTCCCTTTATAACGTCTCAGAAAGTCAGGTTTCCTGACCTTATGTGTTTTTTAGAACATATSGAATGACTATATCCAAGATAGCGCTCATTAAATCTGCGTTGTGTTTTTATAATACAATTTTATACATATTTAAATGCTTGCTGAATCAGGTTTTGATTTCTGTTAAGTATGTAGAGTTTTTTGTTCTGTTTTGGATTTTTGTTTGTATGTTTATTTATTTTTAGCGGTTTCAGGTATGGACTCCAGGGTCTCATGCATGCTAGCAAGCACTCTGCCCMTGAGCAACATCCCAGCCCAGTTTTGTGGAACTTATAACATTGTTTTGTGTTAGTGGTGAACAAAAGCCAGTGTGAATATACCCTCCAAGAAAATAATGAATTCTGTTCAGTTGATTTACAACATTTTCTGACAATTGATCAATATGAGCAATTGGTCAATTAACTTTTCTTTTACTTGGAATTTGACCTAAAATTAAGCTGTTTTTCATTCATTAGGTTAGAAATACACTTAAATCTTTTAGCTGCAAAGCACTGTGCTGGAGCAACTGGGGTAAAACATTGTGGAGCTTTAGGGTGGAGGAAGAGAGTATATTACCTATTGCTGCATAACAAGTTACCTTAAAACTTAGAGGCCAAAACAAATAAGTGCTCTACATTTCCTGGGGGCCAGGAACACAGGTATGGCTTAGTATTTAGTTTCATTAAATTAATTTTAATTTTACTTTCATTAAATTTATTTAATTTCCTTTGTGAAAGGATTCCAGGAAAGAAGTGCTATGCAAATGTATGACAAGGTGTTTAAATTGCTCTAGAATCAAGGAAGGGCTTCATTGAAGAAATGGTTTGGGTTGAGTGTTAAAGAATGGGCAGGATTTGACTAGATGGAGAGAGAGAATGAGGAAATGGCTGTATAAAAACCCTGAAGCAGGAGAGCACCAGGAAGGCCAAARATAACTACAGAGAGCTTGATGAGCTATGGCAGGGGCCAGATCCTCTATGACTTTACAGGTTTTGGTCTACCTTAAGAGCTGTCACCTTAAAATGTTTGTGATTTTAGGGATTCAGTCAGCAAATATTTATGGGCCACCTTCAAGTGTGCTTAGTACTGGTAAAGGATGACAGTTTCAGTTCTCAAGTTATCTATAACTCAATTATCAGTTATCTATAATTGGAGAGATGTGATATCCACATTTGAAACAATAAGCAACCCAACATAGAACAATTAATGTTATGATTATAACAATAATATTGATGTAAAGTATTAAGTCGTGTGCTACAAATACAGAATAGTATTTAATTAGCTAATTGTTTAAGCAGGTGGTGCTGAGCATGATTAGTATTTAAATCAGGAATTCAATGATTTTAATATGGGAGTTGCTTCTGTGATTATATTCAAATATAATTTTTGTATATAATATAAATTTTWKATATAATATAAATTTAAATATAAATTTGCTTATTTTTGCAGTGCTAGGGATCGACTCAGGGCCTGGCACATGCTAGGCAAGTGCTTTACCACTCAGTACGAGTGATAAAGTTTTACCCAAAGTTTTTGGAGCCTATTTTTTAAAATAATTTTACAATTAAAAACAATGATGAAATTATTGGAATTTACTTTGAAAAAATGGCATTATCAATTACATATATAAATGTTCATTATGTTCCAGATATGGTGTCTGATATTTGAATTGAGGCAAACAAATTCCTGCCTTAAAAGTAAGGTAATAAGGGCTGGGGTTGTGGCCCAGTGGTAGAGCGCTCACCTAGCACGTGTGGCCCTAGGTTAGAACCTCAGTACCACATAAAAATAAATAAATAAAATAAAGGTATTGTATCCAACTACAACTAAAAAAAAAAAAAGGTAAGGTAATAAATAATATGAGGCTATTGTGATATATCAAACTTAAAGGGTATATAYATGTGATTTTTAACAATTTCAAAAGGAAGGGGAGATTGCAGTAGGGTGGACTGATGTAGAAAGGCTTTAGAGGAAGGATGTGATTTGGGGTTTTAAGAACTGTTATGTTGCCAGGTATGGTGGCACATATCTATGTCAGTGATTTGGGAGGCTGATGCAGGAGGATCACAAGTTCAAAGTCAGCTTCAGCAACTTAGTGAGGCCCTAAGCAACTTAGTGAGACCCTATCTCAAAAGAAAAATTAAAAAGGACTGGGGATGTTGCTCAGTGGTTAAGCATCTCTGGGTTCAATTCCTGATCCCCCCCTCCCAAAAAAAAAAAAACTAGGCTGAGTGGTAGAGTGCTTGTCTAGCCTGTGTTAGGTACTGGGTTAGATCTTTAGCACCATATAAAATAAAAAAATGAAATTAAAAAAAATAATAAATAAAATAAAAATAAGTAAAATAATAAATAAATAAATAAATAAAAGTATTGTGTTCATGTACAACTAAAAAAATTTTCTTAAAAAAGAACTGTTGTTAGCAAGGGATAGAAGGATAGTTTTGTTCAGAAAGTGCAGGAAAGGTAAGTACTGCTTGAAGGGAGGAGTGAGTGAATCTTAATTTAATGCCAGATTGATGAATGTGTGCCGCTTTTTGGTATAGCATTTTTACCCTTTCATTACCAGTGACCTGCCTCTTCTTTCCTTCTCTTAGTGAAGCTATTAAGTACCTCACAGAAGCTCTTCAATCAACCAATGAATTGGAACTTGAAGATATCTTGGAAAAGATCATCGATGCAGTTGAAAAGCAGCCCTGTAAGTAACATTTTCTTATAACTCCTAAATTGTTAATATAGCTATATATTATCAATTAGATTTTTARATTTAAATAGTTGAGGATTCTGTAGTAAGACTCTCCAGTGTTATGAGATATGCATGGTGGTATTTCTTCCCAAATTAGTTCAGTTGTAACCTCAAGATATTCCCTAGGATCCTTTACAGACACCCTACCACCACCACCACCCGYCACCCCCATGGTGGAGTTATCATGGCCATCTTTTCTTTTTAGGTTAAGTACTCCTAAATGGGGAAAAAGAAAAGTAAAGCAGGGCTAACTCTCCCTTGCTTTTTTCAGAGATCTTTCGATTGAATTCTTTATCTGATACCATTAGCCTGGGCCTATAAAGGAAAAATTAATGCCCTTCTCTTTGGGAAAAAAAAATTGTTCAGTTTTATTGCCCTAAAGGATAGAAGTAAGTGTGACTCATTTTCATGTTGTTAAGAAGTGAGACTTTTTAATTATGTAGCAAGTTACATATTCTATAATGATGTTATATTCTATAAAAATAATCCTATAATAATGTTATTTTCTGCTTTTTTACTTCTAAAAGCAGGATTTTAAATATACCTTTGCTTTAAAAAATTCTTTATAGCCAGCGTGGTGGTGCAMGCCTGTAATCCCTGTGGGAGGCTGAGACAGGAGGATTGCAAGTTCTATACCAGCCTCAGCAACTTAGTGAGGTCCAAGCAACTTAGCACAACCCTGTCTCAAAATAAGAAATAAAAAAGGGCATGCATTAATTCATTAACCTAAGATAACACATGGCATGTTGTCTGAAGACATACCGTAATAGTTAAGGCTGCCCATTTTGGAATTAGGCCTGAGTTTGCATTGTTCTCTATCCCTCTAGTTTATATTCTTGGGTGGTTACTCAACTTTTCAAAGTTGTACTTTCTTCATCTATAATATGCAGGCATATTAACATTAGTGCTACAGAATATCTGTCTAATAGAGTAATGCTTGTAAAGTTCTAAGCATAATACTATATATTAACTAGTTGCTTAAGTAATAGCAGCCATTATTATTACTATTATACTTACTGAAATAGAAATTGTGATAAAGTTATACTAATGTAACCTTTTTAAAATTGGGGGCTTACATAAATGGTTTTTATAAGTAAGCTTATATTACTAATCCAAGTCAGAAATGCTCCAAAATCTAAGACTATTTGAGTTCAACAGGATACCCTAAGAGGAAAATTTCATGCCTGCATGTGACAGGTCATAATCACAAGCTATGTGTATAAGGTGTATAAGAATTTCATGTTTAGACTTAGATCCCATCCCCAATATGGCTCATTATGTGTATGCAGATATACTAAAACCCCCCAAATTAGAAATCTGAAACACTTCTGGTCCCAAGTATTTTGGATAAGGTATACTAAAGCTATGATGAGAATTCCTGTATTAGTAGTATTTGATGTTATTTTTAGCTAAACAGCTATCTAGGAAGAAATACTTCCTTGTTTCTTAAAATTTGACATTGAAGCCTGGCATGGTGGCATATGCCTCTAATCCAGCAACTTGGTAGGCTGAGGTAGGAGCATTGCAAGTTCCAGGTCTTGGCAACTTATGAGACCCTATCTCAAAATTAAAAAGAAAAAAAAGAAAAGTTGTGTTCTGGGGTTTTAGTACAGTTGTAGAGCACCCCAGGGTTCAGTACTTAGTATCACAAATAAAAAAAAAAAAGTGAAAAATATAAATTGATTTTGAATTTCTCTTTTCAGTGTCATCCAACATGATTGAACGATCTGTAGTGGAAACCGCAGTCCAGGAATGCAGTCAATCTGTTGATGAAACTATGTATGTGGGTACAATGAACTTTGCTCCCTAATGGAAGTGTTTTTGAGTGCTTATTTTTTTTTTTTAATTTGTTCAACAGGTATTTATTTATTGTTGAGTTTACCACTTTCTTGGGGAAATAATTAGTGGCCAACATTTTACAGTGGTAGCTGCTGTTAATTCTATTTTTTTTAAGAGATAAGGCTGGGCTGGGATTGTGGCTCAGTGGTAGAGTGCTTGCCTAGGCAATTTAGCATGACCCTATTTCAAACAAAATAATAAAGGCTGAGGATGTGGCTCAGTGGTAGAGCRCTTGCCTACCATGCTTGAGGCTCTGGGTTTATCCCCTAGTACCACAGTGAGAAAGAAAGAAAAAAGAAATTAAAAATGATTACACTGAAGTTCAAGGGTTACAATCTAAAATGGGTATTACCCATTGTTTACGATAAAGTTATCTGTTGTTTCTRTCAGGCTTTTTATGTACTGTCACCAACCAGTTTAGAAGTCCAGTGGAAACTGAAGAGTGAAAGGTCTTTGTAGCTGCAGTTGTCAGAAAGTCATCATATCAAAGCATGAGAGAGGCTCTCAGTTTCATAGATTAAGAAACTAATGTGCCAAGAATGATAGAAAATAGTGGAGAAAATAGTGGAGCTGTTTTTGGAATTTAGATTTTCTTCAATTCTACTGATTTTTTGCTACTCTTGTTAATACCAGGGTGRTGTGAACCTTGTTTGACCATTTTCAATTTGGGAGATAAACATAATGTTTTAGATGGGAACACTTACAAAATGGTGGTATAAATTTTTTTAACCTCATTTAAACATCATTGTATTATTAACAGAGTCTGAAATTAAGTTATTTCATTGGTTTTCTATCTAACACTATATAAATTTCAAGATATGGCCAGTGTGGGGGGGTTATTTTTCTATTATAAAACTTCCTTAGACACTTTCCACATAATCTTCTAAATTTAAAAAATTGTTGGAAGTGAATCATATGCTTCTTTTATGCTTCATATATTGTGGCTTATAAAAGAAGTAGATACAGGGAGAGATTTTAAATGTGTCTATTATGTACAAATGTTCTTTCAATGGATGACATTCTTTTTTTTTTTTAATTTTTTGTAGTTGTGTATGGACAGCATGCCTTTATTTTATTTGTTAATTTTTATGTGGTGCTAAGGATCAAACCTAGTGCCTCACATGTGCTAGGCAAGTGCTCTACCACTGAGCTACAACCTCAGCCCAGATGACATTCTTAATTAGAAATTAACTTGATAATTTTTTTTTTCTTGAGAGAATTGAGAATGTTTCCTTGTCTCTTCCAAGGAGAATGTACAAGTTAAAAACTTTACCCCTGTTAACTTTTTCTTTTTTCTAAATATTTTTATTCGTTCATTATAATTATACATAATAGTGGGATTCATTGTGACATATTTGTACATGTCTATCCTCCATGTTATATAAAAAAATTTTTTTTTTATCTGTAGATGGACATAAACCTTTATTTAATTAATTTATTTTTATGTGGTGCTAAAGCTTAAACCCAGTGCTTCACATGTACTGGGCAAGTGCTCTACCACTGAGCTACAACCCCAGCCCTAGCATGTTATTTGTGACACTATAAGAAATTGTGTATATGGACTGAGAAAATGTGAAAGATCTGCTATATATGATACAGGATTATAATGCAAGTTATGTTTACCTAGAATATTTATGTTTTAGTAAATGAGCTCTGTGTTTTGTGGGATGTTTTTCAGAGAGCATATTTTCAATATCATAGGAGCTTTTGATGTTCCACGTTTTCTGTACAATTCGGAAAGAAAAAAATTTCTTCCGTAAGTATATCATCTATTGATTTTAAGTTAATTTAGGATGTGCATTTTTTTTCCAAAAGGTATGTGATCTCATGTTTCACTTTTGGCCTATCTTTGTGACAGTAAAAGAAGTCATTCTTTTTTTTTCCTAGTCTATTAATGACCAACCACCCTACGCCAAATTTATTTGGAACTGCAAGAGATAAAGCAGAGCTATATCGTGAACGATACACCATTTTGCACCAGGTAAGTTGGAGGGTGGAAGCATTGGTAATGTGAGGAGAAAAAAGACCAATTTTGCTTTCAGAAAAATCTCAGGAATTTTTTAAGGATGGAATTTTGTAGTGCAAAGTTAGTCTTTTAATAAAATATTATTGGGCTCACTGAGATTGGGACTATATTCCTCTTAGCAATTATGATAAAAGTAGTGGCTAACTTTTAATAAATGATTTTGATAGGCCAGGCACTGTGTTTAGTACTTTACCATACATAATTCTCTCATGCTACTAGGTATGTATAAATKTTATCACTATCCCTTTTTACAGATGTAGAAAATGAGGCCTAGAGAAGTTTAGTAACTTGTCCCCTTGTCTAATAAGTAAGTAGAGTTAGGATTTTAATATAGTCTGCCTGACTCTGGAGCCCAGTCTTTGCCTACTGTACTATATCCTACCTTCAAACAAAGTAGAATTTTGTATGTGTTTTAAAAGAAGATGCATTCAGTGGAAAAGTCAGGGAAAGCTTCAAGGAGTGATAGCATTTTACATGGGTTGTGTGTAAATGGAGGAAAGGTAGTCATAGCCCGGTGTGGTGGTATACACCTGTAATCCCAGGAGCTTGGAAGACTGAGGCAGGAGGATCGAGAGTTCAAAGCCAGCCTCAGCAAAAGTAAGGCACTAAGCAACTCAGTGAGACCCTGTCTCTAAATAAAATAAAAATAGGGCTGGGGATGTTGCTCCGCAGTCAAGTATCCCTGAGTTCAATCCCCAGTACCAAAACACAAATGTGGCYGTAACAGTGAACAAAGACCAGCAAAGCAAAAAAATGGATTCTGTAGAGTAAATGTTGAGCAGTCAGGAGTAGCTTAAGGTGTTTGGAAAGGCAAGTGGGAACCAAATCATGGGAGCACTTTGGATGCCATTCTTGGAAGTTGGGACTCTGTTCTTTTGGTACAGAGAGCCTTGGAATACCAGACAGAATCGGTCACAGCTGGGTCTTGTGAGTGCTTCCTCTATCAGCAGATTTGAGAATGAATTAGAGTGTGAGAGAAGACAAGGGAATCTGTGGAATTACTCCTGGCATAAATTATTGTCTGGATAAAAGAAAGTAGCAAGTGGGGTAGAAAGAAGTAACAGCTCTGGAGCTGCAGAAAACATCATTCATTGTGACTGATTGAATATGAAGGAGAAGGGAGAGGTGAAGAATCAAAGATAAATACAGGCTGGGTGCACATGCCTATAATCCCAGTGCCTATAGTCCCAGCAGTTTGGGAGGCTGAAGGAGGAGGATCCCAAGTTCAAAGCCAACCTCAGCAACTTAGAAAGGCCCTGAGCAACTCAGTGAGACCCTGTCTCTAAAAAAAATATAACAAAAGGCTGGAGATATGACTTAGTGGTTAAGTGCCCCTGGGTTCAATCCCTGGTACCAACAACAAACAAACAAAGAAGTCTAGAGGTTTGCTGGTTTCAAGCATGGCTAGATCCAGGTGCTCACACAATGTCATGAGGCATCTGTCTTTTCCTATGTTCTCTTTCTATAAATTGATTATACTTTCAAACAAGTTTTCTCTTTGAAGTGACGAAGATGGCCACTAGTAGCCTTAGCAACTCTCTCTTTCCAATAGTCTTAACAAAAGTCTCAACTCTCTCATTTCTAATAGTTGTAACAAAAATCATGAATATTTCTCCTGTTGGCTTAGCTTGAGGCACTAGATCATCCCTGGATCAGTCACTAGTTAAGAAGACAGAGTACTTTGATTTTCTAGGCCTTGGTAGCTCGTCCATAAAAGGGGAGAAGGGAGAGCAGCCCTACCTATGCTGTATGAATGAGGGGGGAAGGAGGGGAGTACTGATCATCAAATAGTTGCTCTTACTAATCTCTTGCCTTGTCTGACATTCTGCCTTGTGCACCSTGTGACAGGCTGTACCAAACTCTACATAGCTTCCCACACTCTCCTTTATTCTTATGCTTCTTTCTTTGGACATGCCTATCTCTCTCCCTATAGTGTTGCAGCCTGCTTTTATTCCTTTTTTTAAATTTATTTAGCATCTTGTTAAATGACACCTTTGGGCTGGGGATGTGGCTCAAGCAGTAGCGCGCTCGCCTGGCATGCGTGCGGCCCGGGTTCGATCCTCAGCACCACATACCAACAAAGATGTTGTGTCCGCTGAGAACTAAAAAATAAATATATTAAAAATTCTCTCTCTCTCTCTCTCTCTCTCTCTCTCTCTCTCTCTCTCCTCTCTCACTCTCTCTTTAAAAAAAAAAAAAAGACACCTTTGACCCATTGCATAGTCAATTCCCACAGTACTTTGTTGTACAGTGGCATAGCTTTTTCACTGACTTCAGTGCTTAGCTTTTTAATATTTTTCTTGTTTTAAAAGCTACTAGAGGAGCTGGTATTGTAGCTCAGTGGTAGAGTGCTTGCCTTGCATATGTGAGACACTAGGTTTGATTCTCAGCATATAAATAAATGAACAAAATAAAGGTCTATCAATGTCTAAAAAATTTTTTTAAAAAAGTTAGTAGATATTTGTATATTGATAAATTATATGGGTTTTCAATTTTGTTTGAGAATAGGTAACAGGCTGGGTTCATGGTGCATACCTGTAATTCCAGCAACTTGGGAGGTTGAGGCAGGAGGATTGCAAGTTTGAGGCTAGTTGTGGAAGTCGCTCCTGGGTTAAATCCCCAGTGCCAAAAAAAAAAAAAAATAGGTAACAGTTAAGTGACAGTGTTTCATCATCACACTACTCAAATGCATCTTAGATCCCTGCCTCCCAGTACTGGGGGCTGAACCTAGGGGTGCTTTATCACTGAGCTATACCCCTAGCCCTTCTTAGATTTTATTTTGAGATAGGATCTCACTAACTTGCTGAGGCTGGTTTCAACTTTGGAATCATCCTGCCTCAACCTCCTCAAGGGCTGGGATTACAGTTGTGCACTACTATACCTGATTTGAATCTTAGTTTTGAATGTCTGCTTCTATAACTCAAGGGAATCTTTTTTTTTTTTTTTTTCCCTAGAGGACCCACAGGCATGAATTGTTCACTCCTCCAGTGATAGGTTCTCAACCTGATGAAAGCGGAAGCAAATTCCAGGTTAGAATATTATTCTAATTATTTAGGGGGGTATAAGCATAAGAGTTTAATTTTGATTGCTTAATTTTAATTCACTGTATTTTATATGAAAGTGAACTACCGTAAATGTTTAACTAGCTGGTCTGGCTGTGTGCCTGCTGTTGATAAAGTCCACGCCTACTATCCTGGGTCCTGTAGATGTCCATTGGAAGTTGTACTTCTTCTTTGGAGCAAGACTGAATACCAGGGTAGACCCTGGGTACTCTCTGGCCTCAAAGACAGTTCTTAGACCTCCCAGTCCAGTACAGTATCCCAGTGCTGGATACTGTACAGGCTTTCTGACCAACTTTTCAACATTACCCTTCCTGCCCTTACTCATCTGTGAAATTCTGGCCCCTGCCCATCCCTGTCATGACCACCACATACTTGGTCAACTAAACCTGATACGCTATGTCAGTTGGAGTGAATACTTAAGGAAACACTGGCTTCAATCACCAACACACACACACATACACACACACACAGATTCGAAGGAAGCAACACTTACAGAACGAATGAGAATACAGACTGGCTCTAGAGTTGGTGAAACTTGAAGAAAGAGAAGATGTTTTCTGTTGAGTTTGAGCTCCTTCTATTTCTATACTCTTGTATTTTGGAAAGCAGGTACCAAACAGCACTGTCACTTCATTTCAGCAATTTACCCGGCCACTGTCAGTCCATCTGTGGCTCTGTCTCATTTCTCTAGCATGCAGGACCCTGCTAGGGACTAGTTCTTAGCTTCTACTTCCATGTAGGTTTCATTGCCATGAGGCTTTGAAGAGATTTTAATGTTCATATTAGATCAGAACTCATGAGTAGTCTGTTAGAAGTGAAAATAGTGATACTGGATAACATTCAAAGAAATGTTCAATGGCAGCACTGCAAAGAGATAACACAGTGTTTGACAGTTTCTGCTTTTAACTTTTATTAAGTATACATCCTGTTATGTTTTAGAAGTTGACATGATTTATATTTCGTTACTGAAGACTGTTCTGTCTCTATGTTTTCCTTCTACATATTAACTTTTCTGTGATAAGTCAGATGCCCACAGCCCAGAAGCATTTTTAATCTTTTCTTAGCTTAGCTAAATGATTCATTGCTCTTTTCAATCTTTCTGTTTAATTCTATATCTGTGCAGGTACATTTCCTATTTAAACTACATTTATAATACCTGAACAGTAAAACTGCCTTTATAGACTACAGAAACTGTATTCAGAAATATATTGTCATATCTTTGTATTCTTATGTTGTTTTAGTCTCTCTCCTTCTTTCTTTTTTTGATAGCACTGGGAATTGAACCCAGGGCTTTAAGCATGGAAGGCAAGTGCTCTACCACTGAGCTACATTCCAGCCCTAAGCTCATGTTTTTAAGTGAACTCCAGTAGTAAATGTGAATGATGGGGTTATGCATGTCTATGTGCCTTCCTTATCTATATTCAAAAATTTTTAAATAGTAAACATGGATTATTTACAATAAAAATATGGCAAAGATAAAAGAATGGTATAGGAATGAGAAATTATATATCTTTTTATCCAGTGATTCCATTTGGAATTTGTAGAAGTCCTTCAAGAGTTATCCATACAGCAGGCCAAGGAAGGAACTTAGAAATATTAAGCATTATTTTCATTGCAGAAAACTGGGAACAACTGAACTGTTCTTTAATAAGCTTTTCATAAAATGTTGGATGTGCAGTAGTCTGTTGGTATCTGAGAGGGGTTGTTTATGGGACTGCTCCCCTGAGGACACTGAAATCTGAGGATGCTCAAGTTCTTTATGTAGTAAGATGGCATAGTATCTGCATATAGCCTAGACAGCTCCTCCTTTATACTTCATATCATCTCTAGATTACTTATAACACCTAATACAATGTAAGTGCTATATAAATAATTATTATAATGTATTGCATAGGTACATGTTCAGTGGAGGCACAATTTTTTTTTCAAATATTTTTGATCCAGAGTTGGTTGAATCCACAGAAGTGGGATTCATAGACATGAAGGACTATATGTGTATTTATGCATATGTAAGAATATGTGTAGGGGGCTGGGTTGTAGCTCAGTGGTAGGACACTTGCCTAACACACGTGATGCACTGGGTTTGATCTTCAGCACCACATAAAAATAAATAAAGATGTTGTACCAATCTAAAATAATAATAATAATAAACAGTATGTATAGGGGTTAGGGTTGTAACGCTCCATGGTGGTAGCATACTTACCTAGCACACGTGAGGCACTGGTTTCAATCCTCAGCACCACATAAAAACAAATAAATAAAATAAAGGTTAAATTCTTAAAAAAAAAAAGATTATGCATAGGAAAAAAACATAAAAGAATGATTTAAAAATAATGCCTGAATAAACTTTCTGATTAAAATTATAATGGTCAGATTGAGCATATAAATCATAACCTTTCAAAATACTAAATTGAATCAGAATATAACTTTAAAAAGCTAAGTTTTGATAAGTACCAATCAAATAAATAAAATCAATATTCTTTTCTATATTAAAAAAAATAAATGTTCTTATTTTTTAGAATAAGTAGTCATGGAGCTTCAATCATTCATCAAGACCTGAACTGATATATTTCCTTAAGCATAGTTTTTCTGATCCATCATATACTTGATAGTATATCTTTGTAAGATAAAATTTAACTTTYTAAGTTTCATTTTATTTTTTTAATATTTTTTAGTTGTCGATGGACCTTTATTTTACTTACGTTATGTGGTGCTGAGAATTGAACCCAGTGCCTCACACATGGTAGGCAAGCGCTCTTCTACTTAGCCACAACCACCGCCCCTAAGTTATTTTTAAAATTTTATACTGTGATGTAGCTGTAAATAATAAAATGTGAACCTCAAATTTACTTATTTATAAAATGATTGGTTTTTAAAAGAATATATTTTCAATCTTTAAGAATTTGTATTGTTTTTATTTTAGCTTAAAACAATAGAAACCTTATTGGGTAGTACAACCAAAATTGGAGATGTGATTGTTCTTGGAATGATAACCCAATTAAAAGAGGTAAGTTAAACTTAGTAGGCATCAGACTTATTTTCAAACTGATATTGAAATGTTGGTGCCATAGAGCATTTCTGAAGAGTACAAGATCATCTTCTTCACTGAAAACTCTTACCTCATTCACCAAGTTAGCATTTTTATCTGTGCTTGGTTTCCTGAGCAGACATCAGGAAGGAGTATCTATCTATTCTAGGTGCTCAATTTGCATAGCCTGAAATTAGGCCCCAGTGTCCTCTAGTTGAACTGAAATTCTGGGTTTCTGTACAAGCAAACTGCACACCATATCCCGGTCCCCTCAAGATGCTAGTGGCTCCCATAGATGAAGGCACCCAGYGAGGCTGGAGTCCCTCTTGTGACCTTTCAGTCTGTAGCAGTCATTCCTCAGGGTACCTGTGAGGAATCTGAGTCTCAATTTAGTGATTAATCTGAGGTGGCCAAACTAGTATAGTAAATGTTAAAGCCTCAACTAGGAATTGCCAATATGTAAGAATCCATGTTCTCTCTACTACATTCAGTTGTCAAATTTGTCAGTATTTTAATTATTTGGTTGTAGTATTGATTTTTGCATAAGTATGAATATATTTCATTTCAATTTCATTTTTGCATAATTGTGAATATATTTCCATTTCATTCTGTTTTAGGGAAAATTTTTTCTTGAAGATCCTACTGGAACAGTACAATTGGATCTTAGTAAAGCTATATCCTTCAATTTTAAAAATCAAGTTAAAAAATTGTAGCTCTGGGCTGGGATGTGGCTCAGGTGGTAGCGCGCTCGCCTGGAATGTGTGCAGCCCGGGTTCGATCCTCAGCACCACATGCCAACAAAGATGTGTCCGCCGAGAACTAAAGAATAAATATTAAAAATTCTCTCTCTCTCTCTCTCTCTCTCTCTCTCTCTCTCCTCTCTCACTCTCTCTTAAAAAAAAAAAAAATTGTAGCTCAGTGGTAGAGAACTTGCCTACCAGATGTGTGAGGCACTGGGTTTAATCCTCAGCACCACATAAAAATAAGTAAGTAAAATATGGGTATTATGTCCATCTATAAAAAAAATAATAATCTACATTACAGGACTGGAGGTATAGCTCAGTGGTAAAATGTTCTCCTAGCATACATGAGGCCTTGTGTTCAATTCTTAGCACTGCAGGAAAAAAAAAAAAAAGAAACAAAGAAAGAAAGAAATTAATGGTGAAATGTAACTAATTGTAACTTATTTTTATATATTAGTAGCATAGGAATATAGACAGAATTCTAAACACAGACAAAACTACTTTAATTCCTTTTTATTTGGAGTCTAGACAATCACTGAAGAAGTTTATAACACATTAAGAATGATTTCAATTGTCAGTATACCAAGCTTCTACATCTTAAATTATTAAAAATTATTTAAATCGAATTATTATTTAATTTAAATTAAATTATTTAAATTAGTTATTTAAATTATTTAAATTAAAATTATTTACATTATTTTTTAGGGCATTTAAATCTAAAAAACCTAAGCTGTGATCTAAGCTGTAGACTATATTCATAGTTTAAATTTTTTTTGTTTCTTCTTTTTTTTGCTTGATAAACAGAAATTTATTTCTCACAGTTCTGACTTCTGGGAAGTGCACAGGCTGATTTGGTTCCTGGTCAGGACCTTCTTCCTGGCTTCTAGACAGTTGTCTCATTGCTGTGTCTAGACATGGCAGGAGGAGAGAGCTCTTCTGTTCCCGTCCCCCYGTTTTAAATCAACTTTTTATTTATTTTTTCTCCTTCCACATTTTTTATTGGTGCATTATAGTTATACATAATGATGGGATTTGTTGTTACATACTCACACATGCATACAATATAACTATAATTTGGCCAATATCACTTTCCCCCTTCCCTGTCAAGTGCAAAATTTTTGAATTTATTATTTAGAAGTCTGTCTGGGCTCAAAATGTATGTTGGCTTTATTACCACCGTAARGGGAGAAACAATTGTTTTCCTCAATGGTCGTGCACCAGTTCCACAGTGGTTTATATACAGAGGCATGCTTCGTTTTAGCAGAGGGTAAGTCAGTATACTTTTTTTCTTGTCTTCCTCTTTGTTCTATAGTAAAAACCATTTCTACATTGGGTAAGTTACGTTGAAGTTGACATGATATAGTTTGGGAAAACATTGATGATGAGAACTTCTTTCTCTGTTATTAAATTTCCTGAGATTATCTTTTTTTTTTTTTTTTTTTTGAGAGTATATTCTTTGGTTTTTTTGGTACTGGAGATTGAACCCAGGGGCAGATCTCCAGCTCTTTTTTTTTTTTTTCCTTATTTTGAGATATAGTGTCTCACTAAGTTGCTTAGATCCTTGTTAAATTGCTGAGGCTGGCCTTGAATTTATAATCCTCCTGCCTCAACCTCCTGAGTTGCTTGGATTACAGGCATGTGCTACCACGCCTGCTCTGGAAAGTATATTCTTGAGACCATAAAGTAAATCTTAGACTGATAACAGGCTAATAGAAACCTTTTGGTAATAAAAATATTTAAAATTAGTAGAGATAGTAGTGTGATATTCAAGTATACTAGAAATTGCTGGATTGTGTACTTATAAAGGGTGTATGATATGTGAATTTTATCTCAATAAAGTTAAAAAAACTCAGATTATACGTAGGGGTCATAAAATGAAATATTTCCTTATCTATGTATCTAATCTCCATATTTCAGCATGACTGAAAATTTAAAAAAAATAGGATCCCCAGCACAATGAGAAGTCTGTTTTTATTTAAGGTGCTCTTATTTATTCAATTTAGACTTTCTGTGACTCTGAAATTGTTATGCAGCTCAGTTGGATTGGTGGTACCTTTTGTAGTTAGTTAATAGCCGTGAGGTTATAGCCTAGGATTACTATCTTGTGTAATAGTTTTGTCCTTTCGCACAGGGAAAATTGACAAATAGAAGTGATTTGTTGCCTATCTTTTTTCAGGTTGGTTTGAAGATCAAGTATTTCATGTCAACGCCTTTGGATTTCCACCCACTGAACCTTCTAGTACTACAAGGTATAAAAATGTTTGACTTCAACTCTACAGGGATTTTATTATACTGGCAGTAGTAAATATAAGGTATATATCATACCGCAGTTATTACAGGTCTGAGGCTTTGTGTCAAGATGGAAAGAGCAATGGAAATGTGAGAAAATTAGGTTTTATAATAACATAACTGTGGAATTAGCATTTTGGCTGGATATTAGTTGCTGTAGCATATCTGATTGTTGGCTTTAACTGGAAAAGATTTCCAGTCTGCTTTTCTTACCTGTCCATAAAGATTGATGAGAAGTTTAAGTGAGGTCAGAGAAATAGGAAAATACTTAGAATATGATTCCTATATTAATATAAAGGTTTATTTATTTATTTGTATTCTACAAATGAATGAAAGTTCCAAGATGCAGATCATAGCACCTTAATATAAACAAAAGCATCCTAACATTGGAGCTACTCCAAAAGGGCCTCTCTGAGGAGGGTCAGTTCCCTTTCACTCATGGTATTTGAGCAGAGGCTGAATGATGGTAGAAGTTTAGCTGGGACCTAAGAGTTGAATGTGATTTGGAGACCTCCTCTCCCGGCCCTACAGTGTTAAAAAGTTTTTTTAAAGCTAGTTTCCAAGGTATATTAATTAGATTTCTCATAAAAAGTCTTGGTTTCTGAATTCTCTTGAACTTTCAGATCTGACGATTATGGCATCTGAATTCTCACGGGGCAAAACTTAAACCATAGTGACTGCCTACCATGGGCAAGGCATGTATGTGTGTGCTAGTTGGCCTTAGCTGACTAATGCTTTGATATTTAGTGTTATGTTCATGGAGCCTATAAGCATTTGAATATTCCTCTTGCTCCCATTTTTACACCTTATATTTCATGAACCAAGGAAGGAAGTTATTTGTAAGGCTTTTTTTCACCTTTAATTTCTCAAAAATCATCTTAATCAGTGTCTTTTTGTGATGCTCTGGTTTATGTTTGGTGTAAATTTAATTCAAATCATCATACAATTATATCTACTTACCACATTCCTCTAATCACTGCAAGATTTTCATTAACATCAGACCTCTGAAAATGCCATAGTCAGTTGGTGGCGGTAGTAACAGTTATTATGTCTGAATACTCACATTATAGTAAGCACTGTGCTCTAAGGGCTTTCTGCAAATTCTATCTTTTATTCCCTCTAGTAACCATGAGCAATAGGTATGAGTTTAGCCATATTGCATTTGAGGAATAGGGGTTTTAAAGGACTGATTAATTTGTCACATGTCACACTTGTTAGTAACAGAGATGTGCTTTGATCCCCAAATTTCTGACTCCAAACATTATGCTACATTAGATAAGTAATTGAATCATTAAAACAGTTTCAGGGCATGGGGGGCTAAGGGTTTGCTCAGTGGTGAGTATGTGTCAGGCCGTGAGTTCAATCCCCTGCACACAAGGTTTTCTTCATATTACAAATGAAGTACATGATTGCAGAAATTAATTAGAAAATATATAAAGGCATAAAAAAGAAAAGTATTATCTGGAATTCTATTAAGATTACTTAATATATATATTACATGTTAAGGATATTATACATTAAGTATAATATGTATTATACTTAACAAATTAAGTATATTACTTATATATAATGTAGGTATTATGTATATATAATACTTAGAATATTGTTTATATTTATACATAATGTATATATTATTTGTGTTCATAAATTTACAATACTACATATAATATATGCATATATAGCATACATCAAATAAATTCTCATTATTCATGGATCTAGCTTTCTCATTAAAATCTGACTATAAACWAATACTACTGTCGCCATGGTGGTTCCAAGAACATGAACCAAGAAAGGAAGATATTTGTAAGGTTAGAACAGTGGAAAATTTGAGTTGGCCAGGCATTCATGATYCCAGCAGAGGTGGAACAAGGTGACATTAGAAGATGACCTGAGGAAAGAGACTGAAATGGGCAGTGCAGGGCAGTGCAASCAGCTCCAGCTCCTCTATGGTATGTCTGGTGGAAGTAGGAGTCTGTATCTGGTCCCTTTTTTGGCACTATAAAAGGATGCATACTGGGCATTCCTTTGTAACCTGTTTTTTAAAATTTAATACTATGTAGTCAACCTTTTCTGTTAACTGTGAATTATTGTATTATTGCAKGATTTGTGACATTTAGCATATTTTTAATTGTTATAATTACATAGGGCATACTATGGAAATATTAATTTTTTTGGAGGRCCTTCTAATACATCTGTGAAGACTTCTACAAAGCTGAAACAACTGGAAGATGAGAACAAAGATGCCATGTTTGTATTTGTATCTGATGTTTGGTTGGACCAAATGGAAGTATTGGAAAAACTTCACACAATGTTTTCTGGTAGGGGGTTATTTTTTTCTATTCTTTTTTGAACTGCTATGAGAGTTCATGTATTAAAACTAAATTCTTGCCAAGTTCTAGCTATCCAAGAGGCTTGAGTAGGAAGATTGCTTGAGACTATCAGTTTGAGAACACCCTAGGCAACATACTGAGATCTGGTCTCAAAAAGCAGAAAAACAAAAACAAAATGATACATTCTTTTTAAAAATTGTACATTTTTGAGTACTTTGTTTAAAAAAAAAAAAACCCTGTATCAGGAAAGATATTTTAAATAAAATTTTATTTTAAAGATTTATATTTTTACGTTTGAAAAATAACTATATGCCAGKCATGTGCATGACTGTAATCCCAGCTACTTGGGAGACTCAGGCCAAAGGATTGCAAATTTGAAGCCAGCCTTGGCAACTTAGCCAGACCCTATCTTAAAATAAAAAGGGATAGGGATATAGTTCAGTGGTGGAGTGCCCTTGTGTTCAATTTAAAAAAAAAAAAAGGAATGAAAATAAAGTTATATGTGTGTATGTTCATAATAAATTAGAATTAGTCATTAGTATAACTAAAGAAAATGGATAAAATCTAGGGCTTTGAAATCTAACAGAACTGAGTATAAATGCCAGCCTAATACCTTGGGCAGATTATGTAATCTCACCATAAGTCTCAGTTTGGAGGAAATTTCTGAGGATTAAATAAGCCATAGCAGGGCTGGCACATACTGAGTTCTCAGTAAATTGTTATTATTATCATTATTATTATTATTGTTTGAATAAAATAAGGTATTATTAAGATAGATTTTTCTTAATTAAAAACTTATGGTAAGGGGCTGGGTGTATAGCTCAGTGATAAATTACTTATCTAGCACATGTGAGGCCTTGGGTTTGTTCCCCAACATTGTTAAATAAAAAAAGGAGTCTTGAAAAGCCAGGTGCAGTGGCATGCCTGTAGGCCCAGCTACTTGGGAGGATAAGGCAGGCGAATTGCTTGCCCATGAGCTAAAAGGCTTTAAATTTGATTTCCAGAGTAGAAAAGTGATGTTCTTTTATTCTTCAGGCTATTCACCAGCACCCCCAACCTGCTTTATTTTGTGTGGTAACTTTTCATCAGCACCATATGGAAAAAATCAAGTTCAAGCTTTGAAAGGTATTGATTATTAATAAGTGTTTATATATAGTATAAACTAAATTGATGAAAAAATTACCCATATTTTAATTTCACTCAAAAGATGTAGGGTTACATTTAATCAAATATAACTTGAGGTGGTTATAGCGGTGCATGCCTATTCCAGTGACTTGGGAAGCTGAGGCAGGAGGATTGATAAGACCAACCTCAGCAATTTAGCGAGGCCCTAAGGACTTAGCAAGACCCTGTCTTAAAATAAAACATATAAAAAGGGCTGAGGAATGTGGTTCAGTGGTTAAGTGACTCTTGGTTCAATGTGGGCACACATACCCCAAATATATATGTAATATATATAATTTGATTTTTATTTGTATTATATATAACTTAAATTTAATATCCTTTTAAAATTTTAGATTCTCTAAAAACTTTGGCAGACATAATATGTGAATACCCAAATATTCACCAAAGGTAATGATTTCTACTGCTGTATTTTTTATTGAAATAATTTTATTTAAAAAAAAAAGAGTCTTAAGGTTTATACCAGTAATTATTAAGAAACCAAGAAAAAGTTGAGGAAATTGAAAGAATTAAGAGATAAAATTATCCTTACATCATAATATGTTATACTTCTATAGATTCATAGTGAAAAGTATTGAAAAGGAGAATTATAATTTCAGTCATATTTTTTGATGGCATTACTGGTCCAGAACTCTGCCTCTCAATATGATAATCACTGGTCACATGTGTCTCTTTAAATATAAAGTTAAATTAAAGTTGAATAAGATCTGAAATTCATTCTACCAGCCATACTATCTACAGTGCCAGCACTCTATAATTAGACAGTTTAAATACAGGACATTCTATCATCACGCTACTAGACAGTGTTGGGCTAGAGACATTTAGCAGTTTATTACAATGCATAAAATTTTAAAGATTAAAAACCCCAGGAGTGATTTAAAGGCAGTGACTGTTTTTAGACTGCTGGTTGGTGATGCTATATTATTATGCTTTAAAATGAATTATGTTGAATTTCACTGCAGTAGTCGTTTTGTGTTTGTACCTGGTCCGGAGGATCCTGGGTTTGGTTCCATCTTACCCAGGTAACTTTTATTTATATTTTTACAACAGTCAAGAAAATTCTGCAAAACTTAAAAATATATACTTTATCAGATCAATTTTTTTTTGTAGGCCACCACTTGCTGAAAGCATCACTAATGAATTTAGACAAAGGGTACCATTTTCAGTTTTTACTACAAATCCTTGCAGGTAAATAATAGTTATTACTCTTATACATTTTTCCTTTCATTAGAAATTAACTTCTGGGGGCTGGGGTTGTGGCTYAGTAGTAGAGCACTCTCCTAGTACTTGTGAGGCCCTGGATTCGATCCTCAGCACCACAAACAAATAAATAAATAAATAAAGTTGTGTCAACTAAACTAAAAATATATACATTTTTTTAAAAATTAGCTTCTGGTGCAGCTGGGGATAAAGCTCAGTTGTTGGAGTGCTAGCCTCGGATGCACAAGAGCTTGGGTTCAATCCCTAGCACCACCAAAAAAAAAAAAAAAATCTTCAAATTTGTTTATGTATTTTGACTGTTAAGGAATAATATGAAAAGAAATTTTGCTTTTATTTTGTATTACTCAAAACATTGAAAATATTTTAAGTACATTTAAAAATTTTTCCAATAGTAAATTTAGGAACTTAAATAATAGATGGATTTTTAAAAATAGATAAATATCATTTCTRTATTGGCAACTCTCATATTTTGTCTCTAGCTCACATCTTTCTCCCAGACTCATGGATCCAGTTTCCTACTTATTCTCTCTCCTTGGTTATCAGGAGACAAGTGAACTCTGATCTTCCTCCCTGCCACCACCCCCTTATCTCTTCTGCAGCCTTCCCCTATCCTCGTTGATGGCACACTTAACCTTCTAGTTGTTCAGGCCAAATCACACAGTTTTCAGCTAGTCCTGTAAACTTCAAAATACATCCAGAATTTTATCACCTCTCTATCCCTCCTGTATGACTCTCTACTAATCTTCTCTAGCCTGGGATACTATAATTGCCTCTTAATTGGTCTCTGGTTTCTACCATTTCCACTCTATGGTCTATTCTTTTTTTTTTAGTTGCTCAAGACAATACAATCATCTTGACATATCATACATTTGATTCCAATAGGGTATGAATTCTCATTTTTCCACGTGTACACACTGCAGGATCACATTGGTTATACATCCATGTGTATACATACAGCAATCCTAGTGTCAGTTGTATTCTGCTGCCCTCCCTATCCCCCCCTCCCTCCCATCACTTCTGTCTACCCATTCTACTGTGACACTTGTCTCTCTTTTTTTTCTTCCCTTCCCTCTCACACCATCGTATATATATTTTGTGAAACCATGAGGGTCTCCTTCCATCTTCCGTGAAATTCCCCTTCTCCCTCCCATTCCCTCCCACCTCTTTTCCTTGTTTCATGGTAATCTTCTTGTCATGCTCTTCCTCCCTACTCTGTTTTGAGTCACCTCTCTTATATAGAGAAGACATTTGGCATTTGTTTTTTATGGATTGGCTAACTTCGATTAGCATAATCTGCTCTAATGCCATTCATTTCCCTGCAAATGCCATGATTTTGTTATTTTTTAGTGCTGAGTAATATTCCATCTATTCTTAACACTGTCTCAAAGTGAGTAAGGCATATCATGTCCACCTTCCTGATCATGACAAATGGGGCCCCTCATATATCCTTACAGTGGTAATCAAGGTCCTACAGGCATAATCTGACTCCCTATTATTTCTCTGACTTTCTCTTTCCCATTTTACTCCCTTCAAACCAGCCTTACTCTATTCTTCAAGCATGCCWGGCATGCTCCAATCTTAGGGTCTGTGCTGTACCCCCATTTCCCTTTCTTTTTCTTTTTCTATTAAATTTTTTTGTAGTTGTAGATGGACAGAATGTCTTTATTTGTTTATTTTTAGGTGGTGCTGAGGATCAAACCCATTGCCTCATGCATGCTAGGCAAGCGCTCTGCCACTGAGCTACAGCCCCAGCCCGTATTCCCCCTTTCTTTTTTTATCATATATTTTTTTCTGAGGAAGTCAAATTCAACTTGTTTTCATTCTTAATAGTTTTATTATTGCATTATACATACTATTGGGAATCATTTTGATATTCATAAATGTATATGACATAATTTGTTCCATTTCAACTTATTTTTTTAGAATTCAGTATTGTACACAAGAAATTATCATCTTTCGTGAAGACTTAGTGAATAAAATGTGTAGAAACTGTGTCCGTTTTCCTAGTAGCAATTTGGATATTCCTAATCATGTAAGTAAAGAGTACTTTTCTTTATTAAACTATCTTATGTTATATTATACAAAATGTTGGTAAGCCACTTAATAATTTTTCTTTATATGTTGAAGTTTACTTGTGGTTCAAAATAATTTGAATATACTTTTGTCAGTAAGTTAATTTTTGTTAGTCATTACTTCTCAGCTTTCTACTGAATAATTCCCTAATGAGTCAGAGGAGAGCCCAGAATAAGCAGATTTCTTTGAAGCTTTCTGCTTTCCTTTAAAATTATTAAATTGTGCTACAAAATATATGTACATATTTATCATACTTATTACATATTTCCTATGGTGTGTGCACACCAGAAGGATGAGTAATTTTTAGTCTTGTAGCTTCCAGGTTCCCTGACATGGAGTTGTCAAGGGTTACATGGTTACATGTACCCTCGTTTGAGAAGTATGGCAGTAGATTCTACTGAACAGTTTTAAATTTTATTTTATAATATTTAATGTTATGCAAGCTAAATACTGGATCTTGGCTTTATTCAAGCTATGAGATATTTTGGGGTGAAAAGTGCCGCAGTCTGGCTGGGCACAATTCAGGAGCCACTTGTCAAAAGAAACTAACTTTATTTTTAGAACTACAAACGCCAAGCAAAACAGCTCCTCAGGAAAAACCCTCAGAGCCCAACTGCCACCACCGGCTTCCACAAGCCTCTCACCCCCACACCAACCACCACCTCCCCCAATCCTCCTGCTCTTGAGGCCGATTGGCTAGGTCGCGTGGGCGGAGCCAAAGAAGTCCCCCAATGAGCAGTTCCGTAGTCACCGCAGAGGAGCCAATCAGCTAGATGTTGCTGGGGCCACTGTGAGCCAATCATCAGCCGGCAGCTGGAAGTTTGCTGGGGCCCCTTTGGCTGTGGCTCTCAACAGAAAAGAATTAGTGAGTTTATTATATGGTTATAAGTACACATAAGTGAATAAAATGTGTAGAAACTGTGTCTGTTTTCCTAGTAGCAATTTGGATTAAAATAATACAGTGTGACTATTTGTGAGAATTGCCATTATGGTACGTGATATCAGATGAAAACTTATATATTTTCCTAAGATTCAGAATAATTACTTAGATTTTATGTTAGTATTTCCCTAAGTTCTTCCCTAATTGTTTCTCAAATTTTTTAGGTCCTTTTGATCATTAGTATTTAATTTATAATTATTTGTGTAGCTATTTTCAGTTTTACAAATGAAATGAATGTTATGTTCTGTTATGTTCTGTTGTAGTTTATAAAGACTATCCTGTCTCAAGGACATCTGACTCCTCTACCTCTTTACATCTGCCCAGTGTATTGGGCATATGATTATACTTTAAGAGTGTATCCTGTGCCCGATCTGCTTGTCATTGCAGACAAATACGATCCTTTCACCGTGACCAATACTGAATGCCTCTGCATTAACCCTGTAAGCATGGAGTTAACATTATATAGTCATTATTTAACAAGATTAGAGCACATTTCTATAAATTTAGTATATTTAATTATTACTGGAGTAAAAATATATTATTAATGAAGCATTGAATTAATTTGATATACACAAAGTTCTTTAACTTTCAGTACAGGATGTGAGTATAAAGTGATGATATTTAAAAAAAAATCATACCCAAACGTAAGTCCAAATGAATATTTTTGCCTTCAAAGTAACCTACTTCTTTTCTGGGAATTGTTTTTAGAATCTGTATCTTTTTTTTTTTTTTAATATCTTTATTTATTTATTTTTATGTGGTGCTGARGATCGAACCCAGGGCCTCACACATGCTAGGCAAGCACTCTACCACTGAGCCACAACCCCAGCCCTAGAGCCTGTATCTTATTCCCTTTAGCCATATTATATTAATGGTTCTTTTTTTTGGTACCGGGGATTGAACCCAGGGGCACTTAACCACTGAGCCACACCCCCAGCCTTTATTATTATTTTTTTTTTTTGGTAATTTTAATTTTTTTTTTTTTTTTAGTTGCAGTTGGATACAATACCTTTATTTTATTTATTTATTTTTATTTGGTGCTGAGGATAGAACTCAGCGCCTCGCATGCACTAGGTGAGCGCTCTACTGCTGAGCCATAACCCCAGCACCCCTAGCCCTTTTTTGTATTTTATTGAGGCAGGGTCTCACTTAGTTGTTAAAAGCCTCGCTAAGTTGGGAGGCTAAGTTGGGAGGCTAAGTTCCAGCCTCCCAAGCCGCTGGAATTACAGAATATTAATGGTTCTTGTCCTTTGAGGAGAATTGTGATTTTTGGGAAATTGTCCAAGTGTCAAAAGCCCAAGCCTGATAAATGAAATTTAATTGAGATACATTATGTTTAATTTTTATGTAGAACTTTTCAAATTAGTTCACAATGTTGAAGTTGTTTGTTAAGCAAATAATTATCTTCATTAGTGATTTTTCAGTCTGCATGCTTCCTTGATTCTTATGGCTTTTAGATTTTAATACTTTTGTTTAATAATCAATTCTAGAAATATTTTGCCTTACTATTGGATACTACTTTCGTCAGATACACATTTTTATTTACAACAAAAAAGGCACACATTTTATATAGTTTCCTCCATGAGAGAGCTTCTAAATTTGACACTTTTGATGTGTTGGTCCAAATAATGCTTTGTCATGAGGGCTGTTCTGTGCATTGTAGGATGTTTAGCAGCATCTTTACCTCTAGCCACTAGATGCCAGTAGCATCCCCCACTTGTGACAATCATAAATGTCTCTAGACATTTTCCAAAATGTTTCCTGAGGTTCACAATCATCCCTGGTTGAAAATTGCTGTTCTAAGGATGAACACAGTTAACTAATTTGGCAGCCTTGCTTAAAATTTGTAGCATAATTTTTGTATAATTTTATTCACAGATATCTTTCATAACAAGGCTATTTCCTTATTTAAAGTTAACTTTTCCAGTGGCTGGGGGGGCTAAGGAAGGAGGATTGCATGTTCAAAGCTAGCCTTAGCAGCAAGGTCCTAAGCAATTTAACAATATGCTGTCTCAAAATAAAATAAAGTAAAAAGAAAAAAAAATAGGCTGAGAATATGGCTCAGTGGTTGAGCCCCTCTGGGTTCAATTCCTGGTACCAAAAAAAAAAGGCAGGGAGGTGAATGGTGAATTCTTATAGTTAATGTACCTTGTATCCGTGAGTGAGTGTATGACTATCTCCCACACCTTCATCACAACTTGCTTTTGACACTGATTCATCTCCTCTTGATACTTATTCACATTAATGAATCCTTGCCATGGGCCACACATTTATTTAGGGGTGGGGATACAGACACTGAAAAGGCAGAGCCGCTGCTGAGTAACCTTAAGAGTTTCATAGTAGGGAGTTATATTTGTGATTGCTGCTCAGTTGCCTTGGGGGCACACCAGATTTTCATTGTGGAGAGAGGCAGGGAAGACTTCTTGAATATATGAGTGTCCCAGATGCATATTTAACATCACACAGTATCATTTATTTCTTAAACCAAGTAGTCACTCCTAAGCACTCCCAGTCTTGTTTTAGCACAAGACTGCCTAGTCAACTTGAAAGACTTGCTTTAAGTAGAGATATAGTAACAACCTTCTCTCCACAAAGATGCTAAAATCTGTCTCATTGTTTTATAATCACATCTTGTAACTTTCATGAAAAAGAATTTGCTTAAAAAATAGGGATTATTTTATAAAATTTGATTAGTTACTTACAGGCATTTTTCTCCCCCTAAGGGCTCTTTTCCAAGAAGTGGATTTTCATTCAAAGTTTTTTACCCTTCCAACAAAACAGTAGAAGACAGGTAAGTGTACTCACAAAAAAAAAAAAAAAAAAAAAAAAAACCCACACACACCAAGGGGCTTTCTCTGTTACATTGCTAGCAACCACATATTCTATAAGTGTGCTGAGATTTTTAAGTGCTGACAGTTGGCCCATTGGAAATGTTCTAGGCTGAACTTACTGTGGTCACGCTGGTGGCACCGAAGTCAGTGTACCTGGGTAGGATGTTTGTATTGAGATAGATCAAGAACTGTTTGCTAAGTGCAACCTTAAGCCAACTGTGGAAGTGAGCTAGTTCTTGTAGGCCAACTTCCAAGGATGCTCTTCTTGTAGAGGTCAGCCCTGACCTCTGCATGGTTGATTCTTAAAGCCTTATCAGCTTAAATTGAAAGCAAATAAATAGTGAGGAGCTGGGTGTGAGTGTTGTGATGGTGAGGGCTGAAGTTGAAAGAAGGTCTTGGGAAAGAAGAAAGAATCATCATCATCTGGTGAGTAGTGATTTAATCACCCATATCAGAATCCTCTTGGGTCCTTGTTGAAAATGTTAAATTCTAGCCAGCTGCAGTAGCACATGCATGTCATCCCAGCTACTTGGGAGGCTGARGCAGGAGGATCACAAGTTCAAGGCCAGCCCAGCCTCAGCAATTTAGAGAGACTCTGTTCCCAAATAAAAATTAAGGACTGGGGGTAGTTCACTAGTWGAGTGCCCTGAATTCAGTGGTGGTGGTGGTGGTGGGCTGGTTGAAAAATCTTTCTCCAAACTTATCAAATGGCTCTCTAGTTATWGGTCCTAAGAATATGCATTTCTAACAGTTTCTCTTGGATTCAGGCATCCTAATGTGTGATTTCTCAGGTAACTATTTTGGTAAAGCAAATCACATATACATCTTCTGTTTAAGAACAAGTGACTAAATTGTCCTCTAGGTTCTTTTCACAAAGTATAACCTTGAACATACAGCCCAACTGTGGCTTTTTTTTTTTTGTAATTAACAAATTATTAAAATAAAAATGAATACAATACCTTTACTTTATTTGTTTATTTTTATGTGGTGCTGAGGATTGAACCCAGGGCCTTGCACGTGCTAGATGAGCGCTCTACCGCTGAGCACAACCCCAGACCTTTATGTAGTTCTTAAAAATAATTTATGCAGGGCTGGGGGTTGTGACTCAGCAGCAGAGTGCTCGCCTAGCATGTGCGGATGGTGCTGGGTTTGAGCCTCAGCACCACATAATAAAATTTTAAAAATAATAATTTATGCATATATTCTTACTGCTTAGTATTCATGAAGGATATTCATTCTATGAAATATTCTCAATTTTGTTCTTGGATTCACCTATTTGACATGTTTTGTTTTTACTATATTCCTGATAGTTCTTAATTCTTGGAATATAGGCAGACAGATTCTCAAAAGAGCACAGATATTCTAGCCTCTAATTCCATAAGTCTAATATGTGTTTGACTTTACCTAGCCCACATTGTATATGGAAAAAAAGTGATGAAATGCCTTTAGGTTAAGAACATGTGCTCTTCTCCAGTTCTTGTCTGTCTATATCTGGCTACCCCTGAGGGCATCTGACTTCCTCACATCAAGATTAAGTCATCACAGAGGGCTGTGAGTCTGGAGCATATAGTCTGTATTTGTGTGTGTGTGTGTGTGTGTGTGTGTGTGTGTGTGTTTGTGTTTGTTTCTGGGAATTGAACCCAGAGCTTTGTGCATGCAAGGGAATCACTAAACCAACTGAGCTACATCCCTAGCCCGCATATTGTCTTACAACAGTTTTTTAGATTGACTTTCACTAAAACTGAGATTTGGTATAAAAATTTTACATGTAAAAAATTTAGTCTGTTATGAAAACCAATACTGGGATCTCAACAGCTCTCAAGACAAATCTGTCTGTCCCAAGCACAATTTTTATTTTAGAAAGACTGTCTTCCTTTGTTTTAACTGTTAGAGAAGCACTAGCCAAATATGCAGCCCATCTCTTTATTTGTAGACGAGTCAGCCCTGGCTTCATATCTTCTCTATATTTTCCCTTTTCCTGAAATTCCTCAATTGCTTACTTTTATCTTTATATCTATCTCTGCAAATCATTTTATATATTTCTTAAAAATGAATTGGGATATAAACAATTACAGCTGGAAATTGATTTATTATGATAGCATAAGACATTTCAGCTACATTTATTTGCCATGAAGAACTGTTTTCTTTTCTATTTGGTTCTTAATACTTTTAAGTACCTGTCATTATTTACTTATTAATTTTTAATTGCTTTTTAAAAAATAAATGACAGTGGAATGCATTACAATTCTTATTACACATATACAGCAGTTTTTCATATCTGGTTGTATAAAGTATATTGACACCAATTCGTGTCTTCATACATGTACTTTGGATAATGATGTCCATTGTATTCCACCATCCTTGCTAACCTCCTGCCCACCTCCCTTCCCCTCCCACCTCTTTGCCCTATCTAGAATTCATCTATTCCTCCCATGCTCCCCCTCCCTACCCCACTATGAATCAGCCTCCTTATATCAGAGAAAATATTTTTCGGCTTTTTTTTTTTTTTTTGGTTTGGCTAACTAACTTCTCAGTGCCATCCATTTAACTGCAAATGCCATGATTTTATTCTCATTGTTTTTTTTTTTTTTTATTAGAGAGAAAGAGAGAGAATTTTTAATACTTTTATTTTTTGGCGGGCACAACATCATTGTTTTGTATGTGGTGCTGAGGATTGAACCCAGGCTGCATGCATGCCAGGCAAGCACGCTACCGCTTGAGCCACATCCCCAGCCCCATGATTTTATTCTCTTTTATTGCTGAGTAAAATTCTATTGTATATATATGCCACACTTTTTTTTTATCCATTCATCTACTGAAGGGCATCTAGGTTGGTTCCACAGTTTAGCTATTATGAATTGTGCTGATGAATTGTGCTGCTGTAAACATTGATGTGGCTGTGTCCCTTTAGTATGCTGTTT